AATATATATTTCTACATATATATATATTCATATCTATACTTATACACACATATGCATGTGTAAAAATGTATAAAAAGTATATATATATATATATATATATATAATATATATATATACATATATATATTTATATATTTATATATGGCAATACTAATTAAGGCAGCCGCACTACATATACCGAGGAAAGTATAATAGAAACGAATAATTCATACATGTCGGGGAAGTTAATAAAATTGTGGGGACTTCACTGGTTGTGTTCTAATTCAGATTCAAAGGTTCCCTCTCTGTCCACAAACCTCGATGTCTCGAACCTTCTCGAAATAGTGTGAGCTGTGAGCGGGGTCGGAGGCTCCCCCCCCCCCCCCCCGGTAGGAGGTTAGGAAGGTATGCTTCGTTTGTTTGTTTGCAAAATAACCCCCATCTCTCTCTCTCTCTCTCTCTCTCTCTCTCTTCTTCTCTCTCTCTCTCTCTCTCTCTCTCTCTCTCTCTCTCTCTCTCTCTCTCTCTCTCTCTCTCTCTCAGAGAAGAGTCTGGTGCATCTTACAGTGGCGCCCGACTCTCGTTCGGATTTTGCTTTTTTTTCAATTTCAATTTTGATTCCACTATTTCTGCCGTGTCCCCCCCCCCCCCGATCAACACCCGATTTTCCACGGGTCCCCCAAGATTGAAGAGTAGGACAATAAGAATAAAAAATAGGCGCGGCTGTATTACTTAGAAGTACCATATATGTATGTATATATATATATATAAATATATATATATATATATATATATATATATATATATATATATATATATGTATTACCAAAAACAATTACATTTACTGGTTTGCCCGGGGACCCATCACGTGTGTAAGGGTAATGTGGTCCACGTGCAGTGGTTCAGTTCAGGAAAATTTTCTCATTCAATAATGAACAAGGTCGACACTGAGTCAGATGAATGAGTCTGGGACTCGATCCGACACAAGGCGTTTTACGCAGGGAAACTTCTTGCCTGAAATCTCAAGCGTTTTTCTTGCTAACTCAAGCATTTTAATTGCTTTCTCAAGCGACCTCCATAGATGGCTAGACACGCTTGCTAAGTCAAGCGGTGTACCGTTACCATGGCAACGGCGTCGGTCGCGTACCGTATTGGTCACGATCCTTCGAATGCAGGCGTTGGCGAGGAACTCCGCTTAATATCTTATCAGATAAATAATTTTTACACAGTATCTGATTCTGATATTTTCTTAAAATCATATTCAAAGAAATTGAAATTAACTGAAAACGAAAGGAGATAATGGAGATAATGGGAATAAAAAGTGTTTTACTTATAAATAATAAATTATTATAAGATGAACAATTTACCTCTTATTGTTAAATACCTCGTCTCTCTAAATCGAGAATATATCTGCTATTCTATGAAATAAAGAATATTTCAAGTGAAAAAATATATTTTAATTCAGGGATATTCATTTGTTTTGATAATGTGTCAGAATGAAAGGACTGTGAATCGGGTGTGTGTCATTGTTTTAGAGGCACTTTATATGAATATAGAAAATATTGCGATTTGTCAAGATGTTTGGGTAGATTTACTCTGCCATCTTGATGCGGCGCTAGCTTGTCAGTTGTTTTAAATTACGTGCTCGAACTGTTACCAACCGCCAGTGAAATATACTCCACCCTCGACTTGTGCATGTTATCTCTTTCCGAGATTGTTGGTGGGAATATTGCTTTTAAAACCCAAGTATGTATATTTTGTGAGTTATTTTGATATTTATATGCTCATCAAGGACTGTTATTTGTACTTTATAAAAAGACACCTCCACATGTCTGGCATCACTGAACAGGGCCTGCCTGCCTTGGAAAGCGTTTTAAGCAGGGAACGGTACAGCGCTTGGCCTATTGGCAAGAATTATTGCCCAAGCGTTCCCTTGCTTAAAACGCCCGGTCCTGTTAATTAGGACCGAGTCCTGGAGTTATTGTGGGAAAACCTCCCACAACTCGACCATTCTTCCACCAACACGATATTTTTTTTTTTTTTTTTTTTTTTTGGAAAGAAACACAATATAGTTCTGCCTTTTTCGATCAGCCGCTTTATCTCTCTCTCTCTCTCTCTTCCTCTCCTTTCCTCTTTCTTTTTCTGTCTCTATCTCTCTCTCTCTCTCTTCCTCTCCTTTCCTCTCTCCTTTTCTGTCTCTATCTCCCTCTCTCTCTCTTTTTCCTTCTTTCTCCCTACAGTCAATGCTTTGTCATGGGAACGCTCCCCTCCAATGCAGCCAGGGTGTGCCACTTACACACTTGCGAGTTTCCTAATTTCTTGATCCATTTAAATTTTAGTAGAATATCTCAGTACCATCGATCGCGGTCATTTCTGATCAGTTTAAAATTTTGTGATTGGCTGGAAACAGAACATGAGAGAAATAATGGAAGAGAAAACACGCAATTTCCCACCTTGTCTCATAAATCATAATATATCTCTTTCTCTTTCTCTCTCTTCGTTTTCACTATATTTCCAATTATCTCTCTAACAGCCCATTGTTACATCTCACCCAACTCACTACCACTCACTCTGTTGACAAGGAGCCATGCAGACAAAACCATGCAGGTTGACAAGGGGTCTGTGCATTTACTAGTCTACCAAGAGAGAGAGAGAGAGAGAGAGAGAGAGAGAGAGAGAGAGAGAGAGAGAGAGAGAGAGAGAGAGAGAGAGAGAGAGAGAGAGAGAGAGATCGGTCAGCGAGCGAGGAAGAGAAAGAGAGACAGGAGGCTCATGATGACTTCATTGGATCCAATACTCTCATGGTCAAAGGAGAAAGCCCTGCATGGAGAGTTCGTGCAACAAACAGGAAATGTAGCCTGCAGACGAGCAATAGGTTAACATATTTTAGCTGAAAGGAGGTTTGCTGCAGAAAATGAAAAACATATATTTTTTTTCGTAAAAAATTTTCCTGAACTGAACCTTTGCACACCCCTTGGACCTCATTACCCTTACACACATCATGGTTTTGGTAAAAATTATCAATCATTTTGTTATTCTGTAATCGGGGCTGTGAACTGTAAAGTCATATGCATTACAATGGCTCAATATATATGGGTAAAAGGAAGGGATGGTCACGCACGCATCTAACCGAGCAGTTTTCACTGCACAATCAGCCTAGTCATTGTGACCCTAGGACGTCATTTACACCATCCCTGCTGGACTGCTACATTTTTTTTTTTTTAATTGGTCTACAAAATTGACTAAAAACTGTAATTGAATTGCTCTGATCAATTGCAGATCTAAAAAACTGATGATAGTGGATATCTAGTGGACTGCACTGCAGTCACAGCAGCCAGAGGAAAGGTGTCCCGCCTACCACGGGAGGATATGTTTTGGCAGAAGCTCGATCACAAACCATATTAGTATAAAAAAATCATAGTAGTATGATTTTTTACAAAGACAGACAGAGATTGGATCATAGGAAATAATAATAATTATCAGTGAGCCAGTGTTTATTTGTATTAGTATGATTTTTTCAGGCTAGTAGAATTCGTGGTCGAGCTTCTTTAGTCCTATTTTGTAAGTACAAGCTGTCTGTCATTGGTCGTAGAGTCTCAGTCATCTATTTAAAGGTAGGTGAAAAATTTATATTAAAAGAGAGAGAGAGAGAAAAACGTTTTTGTCATTTATGCTATTGCCACACAAAGTGCAAATTGGGACAGTCACTATAGTTGCACTGCAGTTTATGTAGGATATTTTTGCGGGAAAGCTCTGGATCAGTTCGCACGTGCAAGTGCCGTGTTTTGTGTGTGTGTGTGTGTGTGTGAACTCTCTCTTTCTCCTCCCCTCTCTCTCTCTTTCTCCCCTCTCTTTATCTCTTTCTCTCACTCTCTCCCTCTCTCTCTATCTCTTCTCTCACTCTCTCCCTCTCTCTCTATCTGTTGCCTCTGCAGCTTCAGGACTATATTGATTCGGGCGTAATGTGACTGAGTTGTCGTGATCGGGGGGGGGGGGGAATTAGTGGGCCATTTAAGGGGAGTGGGGAGTCGTCCTGAGCGTACTAATAATGATAATAATAGTAATAATAACAACAGCAATAATAATAATAATGATGTAATAATAATAATAAGAGAGCTGATAATAACAACAATAATAATAATAATAATAATAATAACAAAAAAAATAATAGCAATAATAATAATAATAGTAATAATAATTGTAATAGTAATAATAATAATAATAATCAAACAATCCCGACCTGATGATGAGAAATATTCCCTAACATCAGGGACTTTTCCTATGTTGGAGAGAGAAAGGAATAAAGATAGAGAGAGGGTGAGAGACTGGTAGACTGTAAGAGAGAGAAAGAGAGAGAGAGAGAGAGAAAGAGCAAAAGAGAGAGGGAGAAAGAGAAAGAGACAGAAAGATCTCTGCATGATGGGGAATATTCTCCATACTGTAATAACTAATGATAATAAAGAAAATGACTGATAATAATGGGGAAAAAATAATAATAACTAGCATGCCCAAGCAAATAATAAAAACACCTTTATCACCCCCTCTCCGACCCACCTACACCCCACTCCCATCCTACCACCACAACTCAGTCAACCAACTCACACCTGAGTCAACATAATTAACGGATAAAAATCAACATTTT